AGGTAATGACTAGTGACAGTCACCACCTCCCTCACTCTGTCACTAGTCACCCCCTCACTCTAGTGACAATGAGGGAGGGGGTGACTAGTGACAGAGTGAGGGAGGGAAGTGGTGACTAGTGACAGAGTTAGGGAGGGAAGGGGTGACTAGTGAGGAAGGGGTGACTAGTGACAGAGTGAGGGAGGGAAGGGGGTGACTAGTGACAGTCACCACCTCCTTCACTCTGTCACTAGTCACCCCCTCCCTCACTCTGTCACTGTGTCACCCCCTTCCTCACTCTGTCACTAGTCACCCTCTCTCTCACTCTGTCACTAGTCACCCTCTCTCTCACTCTGTCACTAGTCACCCTCTCTCTCACTCTGTCTCTAGTCACCCCGTCCCTCACTCTGTCACTAGAGTGAGGGGGTGACTAGTGACAGAGTGAGGGGGTGACTAGTGACACAGTGAGGGAGGGGGTGACTAGTGACAGAAGGAGGGAGGGAGTAGTGACAGAGGGAGGTGGTGACTAGTGACAGAGTGAGGGAGGGAAGGGTGTGACTAGTGACAGTCACCACCTCCTTCACTCTGTCACTAGCCACCCCCTCCCTCACTCTGTCACTGTGTCACCCCCTTCCTCACTCTGTCACTAGTCACCCTCTCTCTCACTCTGTCACTAGTCACCCCGTCCCTCACTCTGTCACTAGAGTGAGGGGGTGACTAGTGACAGAGTAAGGGGGTGACTGGTGACAGAGTGAGGGGGTGACTAGTGACAGAGTGAGGGGGTGACAGGTGACAGAGTGAGGGAGGGGGTGACTAGTGACAGAAGGAGGGAGTAGTGACAGAGGGAGGTGGTGACTAGTGACAGAGTGAGGGAGGTGGTGACTAGTGACAGTCACCACCTCCCTCACTTTGTCACTAGTCACCCCTTCCTTCCCTCACTCTGCCACTAGTCACCCCCTTCCCTCACTCTAGTGACAGAGTGAGGGAGTGACAGAGAGAGGGAAGGGGGTGACTAGTGACAGAGTGAGAGAGGGGGTGACTAGTGACAGAGTGAGGGAGGGGGTGACTGTCACTAGTCACCCCCTGACTAGTGACAGAGTGAGGGAGGGAAGGGTGTGACTAGTGACAGTCACCACCTCCTTCACTCTGTCACTAGTCACCCCCTCCCTCACTCTGTCACTGTGTCACCCCCTTCCTCACTCTGTCACTAGTCACCCTCTCTCTCTCTGTCACTAGTCACTCCCTCCTAACTCTGTCACTAAACACCCCCTCTGTCCTTAGTGACAGAGTGAGGGAGTGACAGAGAGAGGGAAGGGGGTGACTAGTGATAGAGTGAGAGAGGGGGTGACTAGTGACAGAGTGAGGGATGGGGTGACTAGTGACAGTCACCCCCTCTTTCACTCTGTCACTAGTCACCCCCTCTCTCACTCTGTCACCAGTCATCCCTTCCTTCCCTCACTCTGCCACTAGTCATCCCTTCCCTCACTCTGTCACCAGTCACCCCTTCCTTCCTTCACAGTGACAGAGAGAGGGATGGGGTGACTAGTGACAGAGAGAGGGATGGGGTGACTAGTGACAGTCACCCCCCCTTTACTCTGTCACCAGTCATCCCCTCACTCTGTCACTAGTCACCCCTTCCCTCCCTCACTTTGCCACTAGTCATCTCTTCCCTCCCTCACTCTGCCACTAGTCACCCATTCCCTCACTCTGTCACTAGTCACCCCTTCCCTCCCTCACTTTGCCACTAGTCATCTCTTCCCTCCCTCACTCTGCCACTAGTCACCCACTCCCTCACTCTGTCACCAGTCACACCCACTCACTGTCTCCCCTTCACTCTGCCACCACTCAACCCCTCCCTCACTCTGCCACCTGTCACAACCTCCCACACTCTTCCACCTGTCACCTTCTCCCTCACACACTCTGTCACTTGTCATATGCATTCACACTGACCCTATATACAAAAAAGCACATTTAGTCATCCAGACATGCACAAGTGCATTCACACAGACTCAAATACAAACATGCATTGATACACAGGTCTTCACAATACACACATCCAAAGGAATGCCGTATTATGAATTATATTTAACATTTATTTAATGCACATATATTTGGCCTTGAGAGGGCCTGGGATCTAATTTTGCCCGGGGGCCCCAAAGGCTCTCAGTCCGCCCCTGAGCATGATTGATTGATCACTATTGAGCAAATTAAACTATTATAGATAGCTAAGATGGCACTTGTCTTAAACTGTGTCGCACTAATAAATTCAACTAAGTAAAACAAGATGACACAGCATAGAATGTTCTATAACATGTCTGGCCAATATCCAAAGTGGCCTACGTGCTTAAAAGTGGGATTTGGTGCCAGCAATGTTTAGAAAGATAAGAGTATAGAAACATAGAAACATAGAAACATAGAAACATAGAATGTGACGGCAGATAAGAACCATTCGGCCCATCTAGTCTGCCCAATTTTCTAAAAACTTTCATTATTCCCTAGCCTTATCTTATGGTTAGGATAGCCTTATGCCTATCCCATGCATGCTTAAACTCCTTTACTGTGTTAACCTCTACCACTTCAGCTGGAAGGCTATTCCATGCATCCACTACCCTCTCAGTAAAGTAATACTTCCTGATATTATTTTTAAACCTTTGTCCCTCTAATTTAAGACTATGTCCTCTTGTTGTGGTAGTTTTTCTTCTTTTAAATATAGTCTCCTCCTTTACTGTAGTACAGAATAATAATATACACGCTGTGAAAGACAAATAAGTAGCTCTAAAACACCTAAAAGAGTGGTATCCCTTACACCGCTAAAAACATAATATAATACATACAGAGTTATAGGTGGAGCTGTGGAGTACCTTGAACAATCTGGAAAATAGAATATATGCAAATAGCGTAGTATGTCTATACAATATGTAGCATATAAAAATGAGAATAAAAGCACTCACAAGGATGGAGTCATACCGTCATATGACTCTTAAAGTATGTTCTCTTGGACCATTAGGGGGTTGTCCAAACCCTTCTTTTGTTGATTGCTTGTTATTTCTCCTGATGGTCTTCAATAAAGATACTCAGTATGCCAGGGATCTTGGAAAATAATTCTTGTTTATTTGTAGATAAAATAATAAAATGGCAATATACTAAACCAATATATATTGGGTGTAGATATAGTCCAATAAAAAGTCTATCAAAGTTGAAAATGAGTGTCCAAAACGCGTTTCGCCTGATTAACAGGCTTCCTCAGTTGGCTCTAATGTTTCTTCCAAAGTTTTCTTTGTTTGAAAATGCCGCCGGCCGGCTGTGTCTTCTTTTATATGGCACTTCCTGATTCCGTCTGGTGGAACGCAACGTGCGCTCCACCTACGGCACCAACTTCCGGGACGCACCGCAAGTGGAACGCACGTGCGCCCCAACCCCGTGCGCACACCGGAACTTCAGCACCAACTTCCGGGTGGAGCGTCCGTGCGCTCCAACCCGGCGCCAACCTCCGCAATGCACCACAAGTGGAACGCACGTGCGTTCCAACTTCAAGCAGCAAATTCACTTCCGGGTCTCTCTCTACTTCCGGGTCACACTCAGGTGGAACGCACGTGCGCTCCACTCCCAGCCTCACATCAGGTGGCCAAATGCAAACATAAAAAATGGCGTTCTGCCTATATTTACACCAATAGAGTGTGACATATAGAATTATAAGTGCTATGTTTTAAATAAAAATAATATAAAAAGTCAGATAATATGGAAAAGAGTAAAAATCAAATTTAATGAGAAGGAATAAAAACTAATTCTATTAGTTTTAGAAGATTGCTATCACAATCTTAAAGGGGCAGAATGTCATTTCTAGAAAATTTATAAAAATGCACAGTAAAAACTGAATAAAATACATATAATACCCAATAGTAAAAAAAACACAAAAATAGTATATAAGTGTATAAAAAGATGCCTAAAAACTTCCATAAAATAATATGAAACCAAGATAGGCTAAAACTAATGCATAAAGTGGCATAATTCAAAATCATTGTTCAGACCGTTTGGAATCATAGTGTCAAAATTGAATATGAACTTCATCTCTTCCTTTCCTAATTTGTTTACATAATCACCACCTCTCCAATCTTTTTTTACTAATTTTAAAGCACAAAAAAACATTCCTTCTGGATTTTGTTGGTGAACATGTTTAAAATGATTTGAAACACTATGGGTTTCGACTCCATTTTTGATGTTTCTTATATGTTCCGCTATTCTTAAATTCAATTTACGAATTGTACGGCCTACATATAGAAGATTGCAGGGACATTTTAAAATATAGATCACTCCCTTCGAATGGCATGTTAGATGATCTCTAATGGTAAATTTCTTGTTAATAATGGATTCTAGGTCTGTTAGGTGTCTTTTTTTATTCTTTGTATTTTTACATGCTAGACACTGTCCGCATCCATAAAATCCTTTACCTATTGTAAGGAAGGTTTGTCCTACTGTTTGTTCTTTATTACTACTTTTAACTAAAGTGTTTCTCAAGTTTTTTACACCTCTAAAGATGACTTTTGGTTTTTCTGGTAATATATTTTTAAGAATAGGGTCATCTTTTAGTATATGCCAATGTTTTCCTATAATTTTATGCATTTTCCTACTGTTGCCATGGTAGTTGCATATGAAGGGGATGTCTTGTTTCTTAATTAAATCTTTCTTTTTCTGTTTATATTTTAGAAGGTCTGTTCTTTGTATTTCTTGAACCTCATTTATGGCTAATTGGAGGGAAACATCCTCCTTTACTGTGTTGATTCCTTTATATATTTAAATGTTTTCTATCATATCCCCCTGTCTGGTCTTTCCTCCAAGTATACATGTTAAGATCCTTTAACCTTTCCTGGTAAGTTTTATCCGCAATCCATGAACCAGTTTAGTAGCCCTTCTCTGAACTCTCTCTAAGGTATCAATATCCTTCTGAAGATACGGTCTCCAGTACTGTGTACAATACTCCAAGTGAGGTCTCACCAGTGTTCTGTACAATGGCATGAGCACTTCCACTCTTTCTACTGCTAATACCTCTCCCTATACAACCAAGCATTCTGCTAGCATTTCCTGCTGCTCTATTACATTGTCTGCCTACCTTTAAGTCATCAGAAATAATCACCCCTAAATCCCTTTCCTCTGATGTTGAGGTTAGGACTCTATCAAATATTCACCAGCCACTCTGCCCGCGCCAGGTTTTACGTCCAAGATGCATTATCTTGCACTTATCCACATTAAATGTCAGTTACTTACAATTCTGACCATTTTTCTAGTTTACCTAAATCATTTGCCATTTGGCTTATCCCTCCTGGAACATCAACCCTATTACATATCTTAGTATCATCTGCAAAAAGACATACCTTACCATCAAGACCTTCTGCAATATCACTAATAAAAATATTAAAGAGAATGGGTCCAAGTACAGATCCCTGGGGTACCCCACTGGTGACAAGTCCAAGCTTCGAATATATTCCATTAACTACAACCCTCTGTTGCCTGTCACTCAGCCACTGCCTTACCCATTCAGCAATATTTGAATCCAAACTTAAAGATTGCAGTTTATTGATAAGCCTTCTATGTGCAACAGTGTCAAAAGCCTTACTGAAATCTAGGTAAGCAATGTCTACTGCACCACCCTGATCTATAATTTTAGTTACCCAATCAAAAAAATCAATAAAGATTAGTTTAGCATGATCTCCCTGAAGTAAACCCATATTTGTCTCTGATCTTGAAAAATCCATGTGTTTTAGATGCTCATCAATCCTATCCTTTAACATGGTTTCCCATCACTTTCCCACTACTGGTAGGAAGCTTACTGGCCTATAGTTTGCCGACTCCTCCCTATTACCTTTTCTTGTAAATGGGCACAACATTACGGCTAACTTCCAATCTTCTGGGACTACACCTGTTAACAATGATTGGTTAAAATAAATCTGTTAATGGTTTTGCTAGTACACCCACTAAGCTCTTTAATGGCTTTTTGGGTGTATTCCATCAGGTCCCATTGACTTATTTGTCTTTACTTTTGACAGTTGAAATAGAACCTCTTCCTCTGTAAACTCACGTGTAATAAATGACTCATTTATCCTTTTCTCAACTGAGGTCCCTTTCCTTCATTTTCTTCTGTAAATACAGAACAAAATATTCATTGAGGCAGTCAGCTAGACCTTTATCCTCTTCTACATACCTTCCTTCTTTTGTTTTTAATTTAACTAATCCTTGTTTTACTTTTTCTTTTCTCATTTATATATCTAAAAAAAGTTTTGTCCCCCTTTTTTACTGACTGTGCTATTTTCTCTTCTGTGTGTGATTTGGAAGCTCTTATAACTTGCTTAGCCTCTTTCTGCCTAATCTTATAGATCATTTGTCTTCCTCACTCTGGGTTTTTTTTATAATTCCTAAATGCTTTTTGTTTTTAACTATTTTGGCCACATCTGCAGAGTACCACAGTGGTTTCTTGAATTTTTGCTTTTACTGACAAGCCTAATCTGCAATTTTTCTGTTGC